TAAATAAAGCTATAAAGAATCTTTTTCTTGCATGTTTCAGTAAACACAGTCATGCAACTTTTTTAGTGATCAATATTTGGTGTAATAATGTTCAAATACAACCACTTAAAATTTTGCAACAATAAGTTAATGTTTAACATACTTAAAGTTGTATGATATCTGAATTTTCTGAAGCCACGACAATTTTTTTTTTCTGATTTTATGCATGGAATTTGCATGGTTTATGTCACTAATACTTGCATTAGGATAGATTGTCTACATCATACCTCTTGAGATGCGGTCTTTTCCTGGATCTTATGTGAACGTGAGATGCCTTGTCTATCGGACCGCCCTTTTAATTCGCATGGTTTGTGGGAAAAGAATTTTTTTTTTTGGCATATAGTTAGTTGATGGTTCAGCTGTGCCTATCTAATGCAACTTTTAGTGTCCACACACAAGGGTTTTAAACTCCGCAGAGTATATGGGCACAGAGGCAAATCCAGGATTTTAGGTTTATGGATTCCTATAAAAATTTCAAGTTAATATGCAATACTAACTGGATGAACGGACTGGATTCCAAGCTAAATATTCTTAAACAGTTAATGAATTTTTCAATATAAATACAAGTTCTAGACAAAAGCTACTGGGTTCACAGGAACCCGTAGCTATTGAACTGAATTCGCCCCTGTATGGGTAGATCCCTCTATGCTTCTCCTAACTTAAATAAACACGGCCTTTGGTCTATTTTAGTTGTCGCGGTTACGAAAAATAACTAGTCAGAAATGATGTAGTTTAAAAAAAAACATGACGACTAAAATGGACCGGAGGGAGAATACCAAATTTTACCTGCACAGGATTCGTGACAAGTATTTAAATCGCACATCACATGTTGCGTCCTTACCGCTTAACCAAGCCATGAACCTAGATGTATACACATTAACTTACCATTGACCGTTTATGTAAAATTGAAGTACTATACATATTATTGAACAACAAATTAAACTGTAGTTATTTTTGAATTATATCAAATGGGATTTTTAAGTATCTTTATTATTTAAGCCGTCAATGCCTACAATCTGTGCACTAGGCATCTCGTGTTCATGCAGCTTGGGGAAGGGCCGCAACCAAATGGGTGTGATGTAGTCAGTCTGCCTAATGCAATCATTAGTGACTGCTTACACTACTCTGTATTTTCCCTAAAAAGGGAACTGAATATGAAGTTGATGTGTCGACACATTTTGCAAGATAAACATGTAATGAATCATGTTAAAGTGCACAAAACAATGTATTAATAGTAATTAGGTTGTTGTTAAAGCAGATTATTCGAAGAACCAAAACTTTTTATTGTAAAGCATTGAATGATTTACTGCATACTACTCGCAGAATTCTGTATAGATGGAAGATGGGGAAAAAAATAGAACACAAGTATTTGAAAAGGGTAAAACAGGAGTAAGAGAATATATATATATATATATATNTTTGGAAGTATGGTCTTGGTATATATTTTATGTTTTAATATTTTTTTTGCATAATGTATATATAGCTTGCCGACTATAATAGTGGCGAAGACAGAATTTCCGCTAAGGGAGTTCAAAAAAGAAACAGATTTTGAACTGTGTCAAGGGAATTCAAAATATAATACTCCCTCCGTTTCAATTTATGTGAACCCATTTGACTGGGCATGGAGTTTAAGAAAAGAGAGAAGACTTTTGAACTTGTGGTGTAAAATGAGGCACGTATATTTTGTGTGGCTATAAATCATTGCATAAAGGTAAATTGTTTCCAAATAAGGAAAGGGGTCATTCTTTTTGGCACGGACCAAAAAGGAAATAGGTTCACGTAAATTGAAAGTGAGGGAGTATATAAAGGTAAAAAACAAATTTTGCCTTACATATACGTTGTACTTTTTGGGCAAAAGAGGGTTCGTGTGAACCCCCTTCAGTCCCCCTAAATCCTCCCCGACTATAATTAGACTACTTCAGTCAAAAAATACCAACCTTTTCAGAACTTTGCCAAAATAAATTTTCCGATTACAGTAGTTGGACATGTTTTTCCGACGTACCATTTTCCGACTACGTGAAAATAGTCGGAAAGTAGTTGGAACAGATACTTTTCCGACTACTTTTCACCTATTTTGGTAGTCGAAAAAAGCTATTTTCTTGTAGTGAGCTTGCTCAAATTGCTGGTCCTAAGCTCGGATATAAAAAAGGAGAAAGTTGCGGTAGCCAGGCTGACAACTTGCATAAAACTAGTCAATTTATGATGGAAATTTATTTGTCAATTGGAAATACAGAGAACTTCTAATAATCTTTTTAGTCTAATATTGAACTGAGATGAACTTAAATGAAGCGAGATAGTCAATGAGGATTCATATTCCCGACCTGAAGTTGCTTGGGATTGAGGCGTAGTAATAGTTGTTGTGCTGTATGTATACATAATTTTAGCCGAAAATAGTGTGTTCAGTTAAACCTATAGAACTCGTCCTATATTCGGCTATGTAATAAAGAAGGATTATGCCCTCTAAAGGTACTAGTAATCTTGATTAATTCTTGACCATTTATTAGGGTGATAATGCTTGGACTTTTAGAGGTTCCTTACTCATGAAAAAACTAAAAGTAAAAGCAAAAATGTATATAATTTTGGATTTCCTATTACTAAAGATGTAGATTTCCAGCTCAAATCATGGTTAAGGAACAAAAGAATATGGATTAAGACAAGGGCATGAAAAATCATGTCTATTATGTAACTCCTACTTTCCATTGAAAAAGAATTTGATGTTACTTAAAAACATTGATATGATTTGTTGCCAAACTACTTCTTGGTGGTCCTCATTTTTACTAAGAAAGTGGGATTTTTCTATTTAAAGCTTTTAAATTTTGTACAAGAATTTCAACATTTGATTCATCATTAAGCACTTGCCATGTTTTCATTAACCAAACGAATAAAGACTTAAAAAAACAGTCCGATGTATAAAGCATCCAACGTTTACGCAGAGTCCAGAGAAGGGCCGCACCCAAGAAGGTGTGATATAGGCAACCTACCCTGATACAAGCATAGTTCTGATTTTTCCTAAGGCTTACACAAGTGAAAATTCTTACATAGTTCCCAGTGATTTTCCTAGTAGTCAAGACCTTTAGGATGCTAATACTATCTAATTTCTTATCACTGGCATGTTCAGAATTTAGACGTTGTGGGTTCTGAGCTGAGAGAGTGAGTTCTGAAATGTATATCTTATAGGTCACAGGTTCGCGCCATGGGAGTAGTTGCTAATGCTTGCATTACAGTAGACTGTCTACATCACACCCCTTGCGGTGCGACCCTTCCTTGGACCCTACATGAACGGGAGATGCCTTGTGCGCTGAGCTGCCGTTATACTTTTTTTTGGCACATATATATAGGATACGACCTTAAACTCGCGAACTCATTGTTGGAACAATAGTTGACCAAACTATACCTAGCATTGTTCAATGGTCTGACACTCTCTATTTCTCTTTTTGCCTAAGGCAACTGATGACTTGACTCTTAAATTTGATCTTGAGCTAGCTTAGTTTTTTTGGTTAGACTTGGCAAACTTATCTTATGAACTAAAATCAAACAAGTTCTTAGTCACTGATCAAGTTCAGAAGGACTATTAGGCCAAGCTGTCATGGTTCATATTCGTACTAGAAATCAGAATCAAACGAGCTATTACCCTTCTGTTCCACACAAAATTTCTGTTCTCATTGAGCTCATCTTAGGACACATGCGTTATCTTTTGGTTAACTTGGAAACCATATCTTCCCTCTCTCAATTCATATTGTACTTGGTTTGACAAAGGTGTATGCTTTCTGACTTAAAAGAATTTCTAAGCAGCAGATGCTATTATCCATCCAAAGGAATATGATGTATTGACAGTAAATTTTTCTGTTCAATGTTGTAATCTGAAGATTCTATACTACAAGTTTTCTAAAAGCAGCATTAGATGCCTCCTACACTTAAACATGAGAACCAAGGAGAGATAATGCATTAGATGCCATAGGAAATTTTGGCAAATAGAATCATATTTAATTGAACCCCACCCACAATGATGCCATAAACTGTTTATCTATATACTAACAGAGAAAGATTGAAAATATCCATTAGTTGACTCACATGTTAAAAATGTTCTATATCCTATCTAAGTTAATACTAAGCAAAATAAAATTTCCCAAAATAACACTTTTCTTTTTTTGGTTTCCACTCGGTGTCCGGTACCCTCATTGGAGCTCGACTATATCCGGATTCGCGCTGCGTAGGGCCCCATTCGGGGGGAAGCGCTCTCTATCAAGGATTTTTCCATACCCAGGGCCCGAATCTGAGACCTCTGATTAAGGAAAGAGTAGCCACATCTGCTGCACCACATCCTTTGATGGTCAAAATAACATTCTCTATACTGTATGTTGATGAACCTGTTGTTGAGGTAAACGATTCGCTTACAATTAACATATGCTGGAAAGTAAAAGGGAAGCTCGGTGCACTAAGCTCCCACTATGCGCATGGTCCGGGGAAGGACCAAACCACAAGGGTTTACTGTACGCAGCCTTACCTTGCATTCTGCAAGAGGTTGTTTTCATGGCTCAAACATGTGACCTTAAACTTTACCAGTTATGCCACACATATCAATCAAAAGTAAAAAAAAAAGAAAAAAGAAGCAGACCGATGCACTAAGCTCTCGCTAAGCGGGGCGTCCGGGGAAAAGCAGGACCACAAGGATCTATTGCACGCTGCCTTACCCTACATTCTGCAAGAGGCTGTTTCCACGGCTCGAACATGTGATTTCTTGGTCACATGATAACAACTTTACCCGTTACGCCAAAAGTATCCATCAAAAGTAAGGAAAAGGGAAATAGTAGCAATCTTTCAAGTAAAAGGAAGGTAAAAGGCAAGAGTATACTTATGTTAAACAAATGTCTAAATCTATTGAACCTTTAATGCATTGATGTGATTGCCAGAATTTAGTGGAACAAACAACAGTCTTAACAGAATTTAAATATCTGCCTTCTGCCTCAGCTTCAGCTTTAAAACCACAGAGTAATTCACACAAGAAGAAGCACACAACAGAAAGGAAGTGAAGAAAAAACTAAGATGAAGAGATATGTGGAATGGTATCCAATCTTTGTGATGTTGTCAATTGATTTTGCTTTCGCGATAAGTAATATACTTCTTAAGAAGATTATCATGGATGGTATGAACCATTTGGTCTTCATCACTTATCGACAGTCAGTTTCGACTATATTTTTAGCCCCTATTGCTTTTTTTCTTGAAAGGTATGAATCATTCTTCCTACTTTTCACTTATCTGAAGTTATGCTACAACTTTTCATATGTAATAATCTTCTTGTTTTGCAGAAATACTAGACCTAAACTCACCTCTCGAATCTTGTGCTACCTATTCTTGAGTGCAATTGTTGGGTAAGTAGAATAACAAAGATTATATAGTCAAACCTCTCTAATAACAGTCTTGTTTGTTCCGAATATTTTTGGATGTTATAGCGAAGTGCTGTTATAGAGAACATATATTATAACATAACATAAAAATTGGTTCCGGAAAAGCTTAGCTTTTATAGTGAAGTGATATTATATAGGGATGCTGTTATAGAGAGGTCTGACTGTATTATCTTCTATTTTAGTTTGAAAGATTGTCTATGCTCTATGTTTTTCTGCTAAAATTTTAGCAGCATAACTTAGACACCTTTTTCGTAGGGCATCTCTTACACAATACTTATTCCTTCTTGGCATACAATACACTTCTGCAACTTTTGCATGTGCCTTTGTCAACATGGTTCCGGTGATAACATTCCTTATGGCATTACCTTTCGGGTATGAGAATTCGTTCTCTCTCGTTTCAACAAGTAAATATAACTTACAAAGTTACGACTCTCCCCTTTGATATATTGATCCAATCTAAGGATATCATATGATTGTAATGCAGGTTAGAGACAATTAACACAAAAGATAGAAGTGGAAGAGCCAAAGTGATTGGTACATTGATATGCCTCGGAGGCGCCTTGTTATTGACATTTTACAAAGGCATTCCTTTAATCCATTTTTCAGACCAACAAACTGCATCTCAATCAATGGAAGAGCACAATAGTTCCTCTAAAAGAAAAGAACGATGGATTTTTGGCTCGTTGATCTTATTTGCTGGAACGCTTTTGTGGTCCTCGTGGTTCCTTCTTCAATCAAATATTGGAAAGAAATATCCATGTCAATACTCTAGCACTGTTATTATGACCTTCTTCAGCGCCATACAATCAGCTATCTTAACTTTTTCTATTAATAGAAGACTTTCCATTTGGATTCCAAAGGAAATGATCGATATGTTGAGTGTCATTTATACTGTAAGTACACTTAAATTTCATCTTATTGTGGAGTCTAAATTATCAATAATGTAGAGTCAAACCTCTCTATAACAACCTTATTTGTTCTGATTTTTTTGGCTGTTATAGCGAAGTGTTGTTATATAGAACATGTATTATAGCATAGCATAAAATTGGTTCCATAAAAAGCTCGACTTTTATAGTGAATGACTGTTATATAGCGATGTTGTTATAGAGAGGTCTGACTGTATTCTACTTGTGACAGGGGTTAATTGGTTCCGGCTTATGCTATGTTGGAATGTCATGGTGTGTTAAGAAGAGGGGACCTGTCTTTACTGCAGCATTCAGTCCTCTAGTTCAAGTTATGGCAGCGATGTTAGACGTTCCCTTTCTACACGAGCAACTCAATCTCGGAAGGTGATTCAACACTTTCAATGCTGCTAATTTTTTACCTAAGACAATGTTTCAATTCATAATAGTATATACAACTGACACATATTTTTTCAAAAATTGAACATGATCAGTGTGATGGGATCAGTTATTGTAATCGTCGGACTATACTTTCTACTATGGGGCAAGACTAAAGAAATTCAGAAAGTTCCTCAAGAAACTGCAGAGAAAAAGGACAAGGAGCTAAGGTTTCAAGTTCATGAATCCAACGATGAACGCGCGATTCCTTGATATCAACCTCTCTGGAAATATTTCTATAGTTTCTTTGAACTAAGTTTTCTTCCTAAACATGTAACTATGAACTAAATTTTGTTATATTTTCAAGAACCAACTTCAAAGAATCAAGTCTATACCTTAATCGGATGGACATGAGAGATTCTTGCCACTGTAAAAGTACCAAGAAAGAAAAATCTAAGGATATGATGATAACATAGAAGAAAGAACTATAGTAGCAAGTTGTAATTATCATTTTTGAAAATACAAATTACAGTATTCTGCATTTGTTATACTTGTTGAACTCAATGAAGCGAAGAGGAGTCTTGACGTAATTGGTAAAGTTGGTGCGATGTGACCAGGAGGTCATGAATTCAAGTCGTGGAAACAGCCTCTTGCAGAAATGCAGGGTAAGGCTACGTACAATAGACCCTTATGGTCCGACCCTTCCCTGGATCCTGTGCATAGCGGGAGCCTTTTTTTTCTGTTGAATTCAATGAAGCTTAGTAGAATGAAGACAGCAATACTATAGTAATGGTTTTTAGCTCAAGGGAAATATTTGACTATAAAATTCAATGGAAGAATTCTCATTACAAAGAGATCAAGAAAGAGAAAAATAGGAAAACATGGAGACAGTAAAAGAAACAATGCTCCACTAGGCAGCTCGGTGCACGAAGCTCCCGTAATGTGCGGGGTCTGGGGAAGGGCCGGACCACAAGTTTCTATTGTACGCAACCTTACCCTACATTTCTGCAAGAGGATGTTTCCACGACTCGAACCCTTGAGCTCCTGGTTACATGGCAGCAACTTTACCAGTTACGACAAGGCTCCCCTTCAATATTCATATGGAACATGGAATGAAATTTTAGCAGCTTCCTCACATTTCAGCTTTGTTATTTAGACCATAAATATATATGTAAAAACTTAAAAAATTAGTACAAACATTATGTTTTGAACTCATACTCTCAAAGAACTTAGAACGTTGACCTATAAAGATTGAAATTCTTGATCCGCCTCTGGTATTATCCTACTCCGAACGCACCAAATAGTGGTCATATTTGGAGGTTCCCTTCCTTTATTCTTTCCTTTCTTCTTTTCATGTCCTAATAGTGTTGGCTTTTGGTCATGCTCCATATAATCAGTTATATCCAAATGAACACCAGGGTCATTAGTACAATAGCTACAACCTAACATAATGGAATTGTTGAGTGTTTGAAAATTGTTATTTACATATGTTTTCAATGCTTCATTTTCCTCCGATGGATCGCCTTCAAATCCAGCTTTCTCCTCCGTCACACCGCGCATACTGGCTCCTACATTAGTACTGGCCAGAGTGATGATTTTCGTGCCATGATCATCGTCATCACTCTGGCTCGAGTCCCCTGTTGACGCCTTATTATGAACACGTTGAAGGCTGCCTAGGCGTTTCGTTAGAGCAGATAACATGTTTTTGATGTCATTATCTGCTTGTTTTTGCTTCACCCTATCAGGAAATATGGACTCAGCCATATGGATATGTTATCCTTTTTTTTTTTTTGGCAATCCGCTAGGCAAGTGCCTAGGGTTAGTTTTTTATTAATAAAAAAGAAAAGAAAATACAACAATTAGGAAAAGTACAAATAAGGGGGACAATAACACCGGTATTATTGCCCATATGCCTTGGCTATATAATCACTCCTCTGCGCCTCCCATCGCCTTATGATGACAGCCTCATGTAGAGGATTCCTGGTGTAGCTGTCGGCAACGTCTCACGAGGGCATATAATCTCATAGCCGTGTGGATATTTTTTCCAAAGGCATAGGTCTAAGGCAACGCAAATCGGGCTAAACCTTACCTTACTAATCCTATTGAGGCATTGAAAAGGCCTCACCTACTAGCAATCATGTAAAAAGAAAGAACTGGAAATGACCAAATATTCAATGATCATCACAGAATTTATAACATACTCTGTGATGATATTACAAATGAGAATACTAACATAATGGTAGAATAAAATGATGAAGGAATTAAAATGTTGTCCCTTCTTGTCCGAACTTGTAATTTCTTCAATTTGTAACTCTTTTTTATCACAATCCCAATTCTTCAAGATGTATTCAAAATTCATGATTTCTTTTTTGAACGATTGGACTTTGT